GGGGGGAGGTGGGAGCAGGGGGGGGGGGGCCCGGGGCCGGACCGCGGCGCTGATCTGGAAGCGCCGCGGTCCCGCCCGGGTCCTCCGCCACTTTGCTCCGCGTCTCCCTGGTCTGCTGGCTCCTCCCACCCTCCCCAGCAGACCAGGGAGACGCAGAGCAGCTTTTCTCGCCCCGGAGGATGTGGGCAGCGGGACCGGGCGTCCCGCCGCTCCCGTCGTCCGGGGCTAGAAAATCCCCGTTCGTAACTGCAGATCCGACATAAGTCGGATCCGTGTAACTCGGGGACTGCCTGTACTGTGACTGAACTGTTTTATTCCCATTCTAAAGTGGACATCATAATTTGAACACAGACTTACAGACACACTTAATAAATAAGATTACAGATGAAGTGTTTTAAAAAGAGATTGCATAGCAAATGATCTCTAGGATTGTGAGCTATGTTAAACATATGATTTCTGTGAAGTGCAGGGACAAAATTTGACCAATGATGTTTTCATGCTGACTGGTTTTTAAAAAGTCACTAGGTGAAATGAGTCTCATTTCCTCAGACTCTACTTGTACAATGTTTCTTTAAGACATTTTGGAGCAGTTGTGTAGGTCTGTGATTGGTATATTAACAAAATCAGTAAAAGCAAAGAGTGGGTGAGTCAGTTTTTGCTCTTTTATTTGTGTTCAAAGTGTCTATTGTTACAGATAACAATATCATCTGGCTTTTCCTCTAGTTCTGAGCATGCAATATTTTTGATTACAGGGAGCTGCTTTTAAGGTGGCTCTTGTTAGATGGTTAAGGGCTGTATAAAAAAGACAGAACCTGAAATGAAAGTTGTGTTCTTGCTGGGATTTAGGATGGTTTATCTTTGCTGAATTTAAGGGGCTTGTTTCTAGTCCTTGACACAGTGCATGGATGAATATTGCTGATTGTTTTGTTAAACCAGTTAATGCACTTGTGCAACACTGACAGTTAATGAATGCCAATTAATGCCTGGGTTTAAGTTTTGTTTGTGTTTTTGTTTTTCTTTGTTTGCTTGTTTCATAGTGGGCCAAAGTAATGTACTTCTGTCTTGGCTTGTTTGTAGTTAGGCCTGGTGCTTTGTGTTGATTCTTCACCTTGTGAAATCCTGCATAGACTTTGAACTTGGTGTGTGTGATTATTATGACAGGAAAGACTGATTGGGCCTCTCAGTGAAGCCCAAGATAGTGAAATCTGTTCAGTGTCCCTCTCATGCCACACAATTCACTACAATGCATTAAGTTGAGGCACTGAAGCTTATTAATATTTAACAGCTTGTTGACTGTTAAGGGAGTCTGGCAGTGCTAGGTGGATAACAAGAAAGACGATTGTTAGAACAAATGACCATATAGATATAGATATATATATATTATCAAAATTTCAAATGAATTAGGAGCCTAAGCCCCATCACGCCAAGATCCTCATTTGGCAGCTAGGCACCAATATACCTTTGTAAATCCAAGCCTCGGGAACCTGTGTTTCATTGAAATTTACTTAGGCTCTTAGATAATTTTGTTGCTGTTGAAAATTTTTACCACTGGGCCCAGAAACAAGAAAGTGTTTAAAGATAAATAAGGTTCCCTCCTTGCCCCCGTTGGTGGTCTTTAAAGTAAACTTTGACCAAAGATTCAGGTTAAAAATAAAAATTACAAAAACAGTCCCTGAGTTCTAAAACAGAGAAGATGTTGAAACTGTTAGGAACACAAGCCTGCTTTGAGAATAGCAAAGAGGTAGTGATAACAGTGTTGTGCGTTGCTTTGCAAATAGTTGGGTGCATTGAGTGCCTGATCTTAGTAGTTTCTTTTTTAACAAGGTTAGTTTTTAACAACTGGATTTCAGTGTAGGACTTTTCATAAAGGCAAATGAGATGATATCTCCTTTGGACTTGTGACCAGAGGACACTATTGCTGTCCCCAAAACAGCGTCTCATCTCAATGGCAGTATATTTTCGGGGGGCTCCTGGATCACCCATCAGAGTGACTTGCAAATGTTTCATATATTTAGAGTTGCTGCGTCATGGAGGATACTTTTATGAGTTAATGTTTGATGAATTGGAATCTTTTCTACCAATGAACTAATTGATACTCAATTGGACTAAGTCTAATCACTTCTGCATCTGACTTGCTAACAACTTGAAGATAAGCACTAAGGGGCGGAGCAAGGGAAATTGATATCCACGGGATAAAAAGCCTGGTCTTTGACATTGGCTTCCCACCTAAGGAAAGATAAGGTTCGAGTCTGTAAGACTGATCACCGTGCAGAGAAGAAACCTCACTATTCTCATGCTGGCTATTCCAGTCTCTGACTAAGCGTCTGCTCTGATCTGCTGAGCCTGTTGACAAAAAGCAGCCAACAGAACACCACCTGGTTCCTTACCAGCAGGAACTGCAGAGTGCAAATCTCTTAAGTATCCACTTTTCTCCTTTTCTTTTTGCGGGTACAAAGGTACATCCCGTATTTTAAGGATCTGAAAGAGGTTGTGAATGTCCACTTTTCTCCTTTTCTTTTTGCGGGTGCAAAGGTACATCCAGTTTTTTAAGGGTCTGAAAGAGGTTGTGCATGCGTGTGTGATAAACACTTTTAAGGTTCACCTGGGAAAGTTTGCTAGGGCTGTCTAATGATCAAAGGGTGCTCTCAGTTTAATGTGCTGTATTTCTAACCTTGAGAAATTCCTGTGTCTTTGTTTGAAATAATAATAATAATTTTTTATTATTAAAATCTGTGTTTTATCAAGTGTTTCCATTTGTTTTGTACCACCTATTGGCAGAAGTGTGGGGAAAGGCTATCCACAGTAGCAAGGTTAAAATATAGAGGCTTTAATAGGCTTTGTAGTTGTGATTTGAGCTTTCAGCGTGAGTCCACTTAACCAGCGTGAATATGTAAATTTAACTTGGCATAAGGAAAACACCCTTAATTAAGGATTATAATCAAATAGACAGGCACCTTCAATTTCTTTTAGAATATGTGGGTGAGGTTCTCTGCTGCGTCTTTAAGAGTCGTGGCGCACAATTCACAGTTCAGTGGAGTAGGGACTGAGATCATGTAAGCCACATTTATGTCCTCGCATTCCTGAGCTGCTCCATAGCTAGAAGGGTCCCTGGACTGGAGTGGTAAAAGCTCTCAGGCATCCTTCATGAAGGCAAGGAAAGGTACTTCTAAAAAAAGAAATTTTGGTAAGTGGCAGTATAAAAGACCCGACAAACTATTGACATTTCTTGGGGCCATTGCTTCACCTGAAATGGTTAAGCACAGAGAATGAGATGCTCATATACGGGGGTGCCTGATAACCTCTAATTTTGCAATGGGAGACGGGGTCAAAATGGCTGTGCAGCTGTTTGCATCCCAGCTTTTCATGTTGATTGTTCTGTCGTCTTGTGCAGGTGGGACAGGATGGTGCGAGCCAAGTCTTGGGTGCTGAAAAAGCATTTTGAGGGCTTCCCCAAAGATAGTGACTTTGAGCTGAAAGAGGTAGAGCTGCCAAAGTTAAAGGATGGAGGTAAGGAAAATGTTTGTTTACAGAGATGGTGTTAGGATTCTATTTTGTCTTTTTACTCATAGCGCTGTGTGGAAATTTAAAAGAATACATTTCTGTGAACTGAGTTTTACAAAAGTTCTGTCTGGGTTTTGGCAAAGATGTGCACGTTTGTGTGGTTTGACAAAAAATCCCCTGTCTCATCAGTGCTCACGTGGATGAGCAGATAGCTTGTGTGGGATTTTTGTGAAGTGCTCAGCGCTGACCCATCTCTGGTTCCACTGAAGTCAATCAGTCCCTGACTCTAATGAGAACAGAGTTAGGTCAATGCTGGGCACTTTTGAAGATCCCCATTTTTACCTCAGAGATCTGGGAACAGGCCTACCCAGTTGACTGCAGATAAGTAAGAATGTCTTGTAGGTTGAAGGATGGGGGTGGAGGGTTGGCATGGGCCTTAAAAGGAAGCAGCTCTCTGTGTAGGTGCTTGGACTGCTGAGTTTCTTACAAAGGAAAGGGATCGAGCAGCATGTTAACACAAAAGATTGTTCTTAAATAAAAAGTTCCTTATAGAACAATCTTTAAATTCTCTCCTGCTCCCTCCCCACTCCACACACAGTTTAAACGCACGTCTTCACTGGCTGACCTTTTGTCAGTGTGCAGAAGAGCGCACCAGCAGACGCCTGCCTATGTCCAGCTCCGTGATCTCCGGAAATGTGGGCAAGCCTGCATGTGCCCTCTGACCCCCCTGCACCTATCCCTGCTACTGAGGAAGCACTGCCCCCGCTCACTAACTCCAGGCAGTGTCCACCATGGCCATCCTGGGGGAATTCCGCTGTGATCCAGCAGTGCCAGGAAGCAGCTGCCTCTCCCCTTCCAGGTGGTGGAAAGAGCCTCTTTTCCCCCTTTTCAGCATTCTCTTCTTGGGACCAGCAGAGTCTTTTTGCTTCCTTGGCTCCTGGTACTGGGAGAGCTCCCTCCTCTCCTTCATCTCTTCCCACTTCCTTCACTCTGCATGCTGACAGAGCCACCTCCTCTCAGGCTCTGATTTGGATGGGGCTGGAGTCTAATTGGGTGGGCCATCCAGGTCTGCCCATGATTACATCCATGGTGAGCCAAATAAAATGATCTCATGGGCTACATATAGTCTCTGGGCCCTCATTTGCCCATCCCTGGTGAACAGGAAAGGCAGACAGGCTGAGAAGAAAAGGTGTGTCCCCCCAAACCTTCCTTCCTCAGAAACAAAACACAGAGCTCTGGCCGTTTGCCTTCTCCACTAACAGCGTAGCAGTCATAGGCAAAGCCTAGAAACTTGATTTGAGTTCAGAAGGGAATTCAGATAGGACCAATAGTAAGGAAAAGTATCTTGCACTGACCTAATGTAACTGCTAAACCTTTTTATTGCAGATGTGCTGTTTGAATCTGTATTCCTCAGTGTTGATCCTTACATGAGGTATGCTTTTCTTTCTACCTCTTTAGTTAAATACCGGATTAGGTTACTACTTTGAATTGCTAGCTGAATCCTAAAAGCAGGGTTTATTCAGAGCATCTGGCTATTCACTGTCCTCTCAGGGGCTAACTGCCCTATTAAAAACACCAGCATCCCATCTATGTTTTCACCAATGTCCGTTCTGCATTGTAGCAACTTCCATATTGGTGGATCTAGTTAAAACACAGTATCCTCCCCATGTCCACAAACTGAGGCTAAAGTGCAGTTCAGTCATGCAGAGTAGACAGGGCGAACTGCGTAGTAATTACATTACAGCCATAAAATGTCTCTGGGTTTTGCTGAATTTTAATAGACAGTTCGGGAACTCCGGTAAAATGCAGTTCTGATCTTCTGTGCTTCAAATCCTAATGATTGTTATTACTGTTTGCATTCCAAGAGAACCTAGTGGCTTCAATTGAGGTCGAGGCCTCATGCTAGGTGCTGTGCCTACACTGAGCAAGAGACACTCCTGTCCTGAAGAATTTAGTCTACATATACAAGGGACAGGAGAATGGAAGTGTTGTCATTTATTTCCATTTTATAGATGGTAAACTGAGGCACCGGGAGATTAAGTTTACAAAAGATGCCTGAGGCAGAGCCAGGAATTAAAAAAAATTTCTGAATCCCTGACCAATGCCTTATCTTGAAGGTAAAAGCTGTGTTCTCTAATTGTACTTGTGACCTTGTAACAGCAGGGAATTAGCATTTTGTAATTAGATATCTCAGCACAGTAGTTGATCAAGGTGGAACTCATGAGTGATCGGCGAGGAATAATATATATATATGTATTTTTAGGGGAATGAGTTGTTAAAATGAGAACATAACTCTTTCTCTCTCCACAGACACCTGGCATGGTCAGCAGCTAGACCCTCAGTGCTCTGTGTTTTTAATCAGAAAATGGAGAATAATTTGTAGTGACTATTTTGCACTTACAGTAAGGCTTTACCTCAATTTTGTGTGTTTCAGACCATACAGTACAAGATCTATGAAGGAGGGGGACACAATGATGGGCACTCAAGTTGCTAGGTAAGATCTTCATTTATTTCCTCCCCTTCCCCCAAGTTACCTCCCCAAGATCTTCATTTATTTCCTCCCCTTCCCCCAAGTTACTATTATCTTTCCATATGGGAGACTCCAAGCACTAAAGAAAGTACAGTGTTGCTTTAAGAGATGGTTGTATGCAGCTTATACTACTTTCTGTTAGCCAGTTGCAGTATACTACAATGACATATATTATATATATATGAAGAGTTGAGAAGTTATGATAACTGAATGCATTACACTCTCCTCATGACCCTGTTCACCCATGTCAAGTATCCCACCACACTTTGCAAAGCCAAATGACATTAGAATAGTAATAGAGATGTAGCGGTGTTAGGCTGGTCTTGCTGAAACAAAAGACAGCTGTTAGTCTTTAAAATGCTGCATAGTCCTGTCAAATGACATTGGGAAAGCTATCAAAGACAAGGTACGTACATGGTGTGTCCTAGCAGAGGCTGGGATGTACCTCTATTTCCAACTTGTTTGGCATGTAGTATCCACAAGAGAGAAAAGAAAAGATGCAGAAAAATAAGTGCAGGATCAGATGGGTCAGATCTTGGATGACATATACAGTGCTTTTTAACTCTTAATCAGTTATGATATAAATGAGTGGGTTGGGGTATTCGCTGTTGAGGCACACCTTTGAGAGAACACGCTGCAAGAAAAGAATTGCTTCTGGGAAGGAGGGTATGTATTGGAATATAAAAGATTAACCAGTTACTGGTAAGCCTTACCTTTAATGGGTGAGGCTTACTGGTTTCGGTTAACCAGTAGAGGCTGGAACAGCTCCCTGTCTGCCCTAATCTTTATACTACAGAGCCTACAGCGCAGGTAACTGCTATGATTTGTAATGGTAACTGGGTTTTTTAACTGCATTTTGACATCCCTAATACGTATGTCTCCTTTTTGCACTCTGCGGTTTGTCCTTAGAAATAAATTTGGCTAAGTTTGGGTATTTAGTGTCTCAAACATTTTTCATTATAAACCACAAATACAGTCAAATAACTAGCTACACCTTTTAGTCAGTATTTCTTGTGTTCTTTGGCAGCTCTTCATGAGTCTGTAACCTGCCACAAAGCATGTACATCCTATGAAGCCATACAGCCTACTACCTAGAGCTTGATTTTAGGCCTCAAGAGACAATCCACACTTGTGTTACTCACATGAGCAACGCAAGTGAAGTGAGTTCTTACAAGACAGACACAAAAAGGCCGATGTTGCATAAGTGGTCATATCTTGAGATGACATCTTGTATACAGTACGTGCTGTGTAATAACTGCTCACCCAGGAACTGTGCAGTCAGTAATTCCAGCTGAGAATACTCTTGTTACTTTTCTCCTTTTTCTGATGAGGGATATGGTCACTTCAGTGTTGTATGGGGAGACACTACAGCATTCCTTGGCGACTTCTTTGTATTCCGGTGTGGGAAACCAGGAATTGGAAGAAAATTTAAGCCCTAATCCTCTGCACGAGAGGTTGAGTACTATCAATAGTTGTAACACTTCCCTTGAAAATTAAGATGATTTGGGAGCAGTTCTCTGGCCTGAGTTATGCAGGAGAGCAAACTAGACGATCACAGGAATGCTTTCTGGCCATAGAATCTATGGATTTTCCAGGAACAATTTACCAAATAAGTTGGGGAATGTGTAGTGTCTGGTGTCAAAAGATGCAAGAGTCTCAAACCAATGTAGTTTTCAAGTTGTTCTTAAAAAGCCCATCCTGTCCTACTATAGGGGCAGCCTTTAGAACAGGGGTGTCCAAACTTTTTTCAAAGAGGGCCAGATTTGAAGAAGTGAACATGTGTGAGGGCCGTCCCCGCACTCTCAGCCCCAAGGCGGAGGGCCCACAGGGTTGGAGACGGGCGGAGAGCGCAGGGCACGCCGGCCTCACGGCGGCCCGGGGGCAGGGCGAACCCGCAGCCGAGTGGGGGAGTGGGGCTGCGGACGTGCCCTACAGGGCAGGCTCTAGGACCGCGGAGGCCAGGGGCGGTGGCGGCACGGCCGGAAGCGGCGCGCTGGGCGCGCCAGTTCAAAAGAGCGCCGGGGAGCCAGGAGAGGGGGAGGAAGAGGGGGCCGTATTAAATCGGAACACGGGCCGCAATTGGCCCGCCGGCCGGACTTTGGACATGCCTGCTTTAGAAGGTGAAATGTCTTCAGCCTTTGCAAAGGGACCTGGTTTACTGAATAGGGAACCACCCCTTCTATTCTGCCCGTTATGTACCACTTTTGTAACCTTCCCCTCTCAGGACTTATAAAACACTAGAACTGGAGGGACCTCGAGAGATCATCAAGTCCAGTCCCCTGCCCTCATGGCAGAACCAAGCACCATTTAGATCAGGGGTGGGCAATTAATGTTAATGGGGGGCCACTCCAAGATTGTACTCAATGGCCGCGTTCCTACTGAGAGGGTTTGAGGTCTGGGACAGAGGTTGGAGAAGGGAGCTTGGGATAGGAGACTGGGGTGTAGGGTGGGTGTGGGGTTGAGAGGGAGTTTGGTTGAAGGAGGGGGTTTGGCAGAGGGATGGGGTGCAGTGTCCAGGAGGGGGTATGGGTGCAGGAGAGGATTCTACCCTGAGGAAGGGGCTCTAGGAGAGGGTGCTGGGTCTAGGAGGCAGTTGTGACCTGGGGGAAAGGATACAGAGAGTTTGGGTGGTGGCCTGAGACAGGGAGTTGGGGGGGGGGGGGGGGAGTGCCAGAGGCAGGCTCTGGCTGGGAGGTGCTTACCTAGGCAGCTCCCAGTCAGCAACCTTGTAGGAACCTTGAAGGCTGCAGTCGAAAACTCTTCCACCTGGCTCTGCTCTGGGCAGGGAGGAAGGAGGCTTCATTGGCTGGCCCTGCCACCAGCAAAATATTTCAGCTGCTATTGGTTAGAGACTGGCCAATGGGAGCTGAGAGATTTTGCTGAGGGGCAGGACAGAGCACAAAGCCTCTCTCCTCGCTCCCAGAATACAGCAGCCACATTTAAAGTGGCTGGTGGCAGAGGCAGCCAAGGGCCGGATCCAGTGGCTTGGTAGGCTGGATCCGGCCTGCTGGCAGCCTTTTGCCCACTCCTGATTTAAATTATCCCTGAGTAGATGTCTGTCTAACCTGCTCTTAAATACTTCCAGAGATGGAGATTCCACAACCTCCCTAGGCAATTTATTCCAGTGCTTAACCACCCTGATAATTTTTTCTAGTTTTTCCTACGGTGTGCCTACATTACAGGGTTTAGCTCAATTCATGAAGCTTATTTTGAGTTTTATGGGAGTATCTACACAGCACTTATTTCAAAATAGAGCACTCTGCCTCCAACTTCCCTTATTCCTAGTACAATGAGAATTACAGGAGTCGGAGTAAGAAGTTCTGCAGCTTGACAGTATTTAGATATTATTTTGAAATAACTGCCTGCTACGCAGACACAGACTGAATTATTTCAAAATAATGTTGCTGTGTGGACATACCCCTTATGTCCAACCTAAACCTCTCGCTGCAATTTAAGCCCATTGCTCTTTGTCCTATCCTCAGAGGCAAAGGAGAATAATTTACTCCCTTCTCCATGTAACACCCTTTTAGATACTTTAAAACTGCTACCATCTCCTCTCTGTCTGCTCTTTTCTAAACTAAATAAGCTGAATTCTTTCAGTCGTCCCTCCTAGCTCATGTTTTCTAGGTCTTTAATCATTGTTGCTCTTCTCTGGACCTTCTCCAGTTTTTCTACATCTTTCTTGAAATGTGGTGCCCAGAACTGGACACAATACTTGAACTGAGGCCTAATCAGTGCAGAGTAGAACAGAATGATCTCTTGTGTCTTGCTCAGAACAATCCTGTGAATGCAATCCCAGAATCATGTTTATTTTTTTTGCAATAGTGTCACCCTGTTGACTCATATATAGCTTGTGGTCCATTATGACCCCTAGATCTCTTTCTGCAGTATTCCTTCCTAGACAGTCACTTCCCATTCTTTATATGTGAAACTGATTGTTCCTTCTTTAGTGGAGCACTTTGCATTTGTACTTATTAAACTTCATTTTATTTACTTCAGACCATTTCTCTAGTTTATTCAGATCAATTTGAATTATGACCCTGTCCTCCAAAGCACTTGCATCCCCTTCCAGCTTGGCATCATCTGCAAACTTAATAATTGTTCTCTCTATGTCACCATCTAAATCACTGAAGATGAAGATGTTGCAGAAAACCAGCCCCAAAACATATGACTTGACATGAATGTCAGTGGTACAAGACCACAGGGAAAGCACATGCAAAGTTCATTCTGTTTAGGCTTCAATTTTAATTGGTACCTTCAGATTCCTGAATATAAACCCAAAACATTTTATGGGGAGACCTCTCCCCAACATTCATTTTGGACTTGTCAAGTTCACATCAAGTATTTTGGGGAAAACCTTAGAGATATTGACTTTCCCAAGAGAGAAGAATGGAGTGGAAGTCTATTAAAGGGTGCTCCTTACATCTCTGTAGTCTTTCTCCTAGAGTGAGAGGCTCCTTTTATGGAGGGTGACCATAATTGCCTATGTCAAATATGGAACACCTGGTAAAATTGCTTTGATTTAAGTGAGTTCAACGATTCATCAGAACTATGCAATACAAATGTTCAAAATAGCATTAAATTGACTGAGCCCCCATTAAAAGATACACTGCATTATTATCTGTCTCTGTACTTTAGAAATGTGCATCTGTCTGTCTGTCCAGCCTTCAGTGGGTGCATTTGTTCACAAACTCCTCCTAAACCAGGAGTGGGCAACAAAATGGTGGCAGTTCACCAGGGTTAGCTGTGATGCGCCACCGCTGCTATATTTACCTGCATCTCTGCAGGTATGGGCAATCGCAGCTCCCATTGGCCTGGAATGGCAATTTTCAGCCAATGGGAGCTTTGATCCCCTGTACCTCCATTGGCACAGGTAAATACAGTGGGTACAGGAGTGCCCCAGGGACTATCCATGGCAGACTGGTCTGGCTCACAGGCTTTTATTTGCCCTCCCCTTACCCAAATAGCAACAGCCACCAGGCCAGGCAGCCATCGGCCTCAGAACTGTAGCCCCCTTAGGACTACTCCAGGGTTGGACAGTGCAACCCCATCACCTAAGGACAGTAGAGGCTGGGGGAGATATGCTCCCCAATGTGTTGGGGATGGACAGGCACACCAGACAGCAGACACTTGCCGTGGGAGCGGGATGAGCAGGATGGCTGGCCGGAGGAGCCAGACAGCACCCCCCCCCCAAATAACTT